ACACCCACACACACACACACACACACACACACACACACACACACACACACACACAAACCGTTGTGCGCACACTCTCCGCGCTATGTGCGCACCTTCACCTCATCCTCATCTCCTCAGTCCGGGCCTTCGTCTTCAGCATGATTCTCCTCAGTCCGGGCCTTCGTCTTCAGCATGATTCTCCTCAGTCCGGGCCTTCGTCTTCAGCATGATTCTCCTCAGTCCGGGCCTTCGTCTTCAGCATGATTCTCCTCAGTCCGGGCCTTCGTCTTCAGCATGATTCTCCTCATGAAGCACTAAAGGGATGCCCCTCTCATCATTAGGGGTCTCATCCACCACAGTTATTGTCGGTCGTATGGCCCAATGGATAAGGCGTCCGCCTACGGAGCGGAAGATTCCAGGTTCGATCCCTGGTACGATCATGTTTTTTACCTTTTGGAATAAGGCTATGCTGAAGGAATAATAATAATAAGGATAATAGCATTAGAGGGAGATCAATGGGAGAGGGATGGGATATATTCATTGATGTTTGTACTGCTCGAGGTAAGAGGTTTTTCTAGCGGCGGCCTCTCTTCGAAATTCCTCTACCACCCTCTCACCTTCTGCTCTCACGGCTTGAACTTGTCGTTCGATTAACCTTCGCAGATAGGCCTCAACAGTAAGATCTCGTTCGTCAGGAGTGAGAGCTAAGCCTACTGGACGAATAGAGTGAGAAAGTAAAGCGTATTGACCTGAGTATCATCTCCGTAGCCGGGAACTACACAGGTTTTGTCATATTTATATGTGACAATGAAAGAAGACTTACCAGCTGGAAAGGGTAGGGATGGAGTGCCGTGTGACTGGACTGGCCCAGGAGGATGAGTGGACGGGATAGACTGAGCTTGGTGAGGGTAGGCAAGAGGGGAGAAATGGGAAATTGGTGGGGGAAGGAGAGAGATATGGGGGGAGGAAGCAGTAGAAAGAGAGGCTTGGAAGGGACTAGGAGAGGTAAGATCGGGTCCCAGGGTAGAGGAGGTGCCGGTGGCTTGCTGTGGACCCAGATTTTCCTCATTGTTATGAGAAGCCTTGATTATCTTAGATGCCTTGGGTGGTCTACCTCTCTTCCTCTTGGGAGGCTGGGTAGGGTCTGCGAGTGATTGAAGATGCTCTTTTCCACTTCTAGCAGTAGGGGTCTTGGTGATGTGAGGCTTGATGTGCTCCAATGGCTTCCTACCCCGCTTTTTGGCTGTGGTTGTGACGGCGGAGGCTCTTTTACCCCCTGGGCCCTTTCTCTCCAGCCATTCCTCGTCGTCATCTTCATTATTCTCCACCATGCCTTCCTCTGTCCATTCCTCATCTTTTTCCTGCAACTTAAGATCCCTCTTCTTTGCCGTAAGCAAGCTCTGTGGATAAATGAGTCAATAGGCAAGAAGAGTATAAAAAATTAGACACACGGCCAATCTTACCTCGTTGGTCAACCTTGAGGAGGGAGTGGGGGTCTTCATGACCTCAGAGGTAGCAGTGGGTTTTACTCCAGGTCCCTCCCGCACATCAGCCTCTGGTATAATATCTTTCTTAACGGCAACAGAACCCATATCCTTGGTATCTTCCTCGACGGGAGGAGATGGTGTAGCACTCGGATCCAGCTTTAGCCCATTGTGGGACATGTTGAGGTAAGGACACCACCTAGATCGTTTCATGTGTTCATCCCTAATGGGGATAATGAGAGTCATAGGTTAACAGTTGTGGCCGATCACCAAAGGGTAGGGCATGACACTTACCAAGCATCATCATCAGGCTCAAAATTACTGAGGCTAAGACGACAGTAGAGACAAAGGACAGCATCAGGGGTATCATCGCCCGGGGCCCATATGAAGCCGGCAGCGGCCATCGCATCAGCATTCCTCCCACTTTCCTCTTTATAGGGCCATGCGTATGAGAAGGTACGACGACACATTTCGGCATACTCCTCTTGAGTAAGAGGAGTACCAGTATCAGGGTTGGTGATCACAATGCGGTGGGAAGACTTCCGACGTTGTCTCTCCAGGATCACCTCCTCACTTTCCTCTATTTCCTGAGGATCAAGACCGAGGCCTCGGCGAGGGCACACGAGGATGGCATAAGGGCACGCTGGGGAATACTTGAGGTGCTCAGCAAAGGGATCGTCCTCGGGTTCCCACCCACCAAAGCGATGCTGACATAGAAAACACTCTACACGATCCCTGTCCTTGGGGAGAGGATTGTGAAAGAAGCCCGCCAGGGCCATCTGAGAGGTGGGGAGGGGGATGAGACGAAAATGATGTGGGTGTATGAATAACAACAATAACAACAACAGAGACATACTAGTCTGGGGGTGGCCATAATATCATTGTGTGGCCAAGGGATTTGGGGATTGCTAAAGGACCGGAGCCTCTCGGAGAAGTTCTCCATGATGGAGCACAATGTGCAGTGAGCAACTGGGCAAGGGAGAGTGAAAAAGGAAGGAAAGACGAACGAAGAAGGCGTAGAGGAAGACAGGGGCTTAGGGAGGGTAGTATTTATTTAGGGGGATAGGCAAGGAAAGAAGGAATGGAGCGGAGTATGCGCACCCACAGATACGAAGCCCACACGTGCACACGATGATGGATGACCTTCAAGGATAGAAACATGAGAAATGGTAATGAGCTGTGAAAGAGAAGGAAAGATTTTCCTTGAACGAAAGGGTAATTTAAGAGTTCTATAGTGGTATGCTTTACCCAGAGATAACAAGAGGGAGGGAGGAGATAGACGGTCGGGACAGACACATAAATTTAGAGTATGCATTCACATTGAGGAGCGGCTCACGCACGCTTTAGAGGACATCTCGTAGCAATAACAGGATAAACTCCTCTTCATGCAACGGTCCAGAGAGATCATCACCAAGGCTTAAAGTTTGGCTCCGGAGAATTGAGCAACCTTGATCGATTGTTTCACACCCAACTCAGTCATGATCTCCTCACTACCTCCGGGGATGGCGTAAGCCCGAACGTCCCGGTAGAGTCGTTCGACTCGCTCACCTTGTCCACCACGGGAGTAGGAGAGACCCCCGAAGATTTGGGAGGCCTCACGGGCACAGTATTCGAATACCTGGGTAGACTGAACCTTGAGAAGGGCAATAGGGCCACCTAGTTTGAGCATCTGCTCTTGTTGGGACATACGGGTGGCCTGGTAGAGAATGGATTCCATCCAGGAATGGGTGGCCTCGATCTTTCTAGCCATGTTGCCCAGCTTGTGCCGGATGACCTGGTGTTCTACGAGCTTTTTCCCAAAGGTCCTCCTCTTGTGAGCATAGGTCATGGCGTCTTCCAGGCAGACTCTAGAGAACCGAGTTGCTTGAGCTATGGCGAAAAGGAGGAGAAGGAGGAGGAAGGGTGAATGGGAGGATAAAATGGAGGGAAATTGAGAAAAAGAGGAAAGATGTACTTACTGACGATGGCAAGGCGCTCGTGGTTAAAGTTGTACATGATGCACTTGAAACCCTTGTTCTCCTGACCAACGAGATTGGATTTGGGAACCTTGACATCCTCAAACGTGATGTAGGCTGTGCCGGAGGACCAGACGCCGGAGCACTTCATTTGGCGGGTCTTGAGGCCGGGCATGCCACGTTCGAGAAGGAGAAGAGAGATGCCTTCCATGCCCTCCCCGCCAGTGCGGACGGCGACGGTGAAATAGTCGGCAAAGACACCGTTGGTAATCCACTTTTTCTCTCCGTTGACAATGTAGTGCTCACCATCTGGGGTCTCCCTGGCCTCGCACTTGATGTTAGCGACATCACTTCCAGCGTAGGGTTCAGTGATGGCAAGGCAGATGGTCTTACGGCCGGAGAGGCACTCGGGGAGAACACGACTCTTGAGGACCTCTGAGGCAAAGTTGAGGATGGGGGGCAGGCCGATGCCAAGACCACCGCATAGACCCCATAAGACACCGCCGGAACCGCAACGAGAAAGCTCGTCTCCGATGATGAACTCGTGGAAGGCGTCCATCTCCTGGATGGGAAGAGCGCCCATAAGGGTAGCGCTAGGGGAGTATTTTTCAGCACCGGCGCCGGTGATGGCGGCGAGAATGTTCTGCTCGGCACACTTGACAAAGAGCTGACGAGGGACCTGTTTAGCCTCGTCCCACTCGTGGCAGAAGGGGGTGATCTCGGCATCGACAAAAGCACGGATCTTGGCACGAAGAGCCCGATGGCTCGGTCCATAATAGGGGCTCTCCCATCCCTGGTACCAGGAAGGATCAGAGTAGGGGATGAGGTCGCCAAAGGGGGCTGAAGTATCATTGGGGTCGACCACCTCCTCTTTAGCCGCCTTATCGGTATCGGAAGCCTCAGGCTGACCCAGGGTGCCGATGACTAGCTTGGGCCCGTATTGCTCAAGGATGGCGCCACTGTGAAAGGCATCAAATTGCTTGGTAGCATCAGTGCCAGCGGCCTTGAGGATGACCTTTTTCCCTCCGGGATGCTCGGAGAGGAAGGAGGTGACGTCGTACACTTTTCCATGGACAATGATCCAGCAGTCGGACTCTGAGTTGTGTTCGGCCACTTGAGCCTCTGTGAAGTTTTGCGTCTCAGGCATAGTGGATGAGAGAATTGGAGCTGGACAGGGGAAGGGAGGGAAGGATGAGGAGAGAGAAGAGAAGGATGAGGGGAGTGTGGGAGTGACCATGGGTGGGAGACGTGTGCGTGAATGTGGGTGAATTTATATGTTTCCGACCTAGGGCAATGGGAGGGTGGGAGAGAGGGTCGAGCGGGGGGGAGAGACTCTATGGATCTCCCCCTCCCCCCAATCCTCCACTGTCAGCTACGCCAACACAATATGACGACTCGCACTACACGTGATTGATGGAGTAAGGCCGCTAGGTGTGTGTGTGGGGAAGGGAGTATGTGGGGTATCTCCTACTAGAGCCGACATCATCGGAGTTTGCTGGAGCCGAGGGGACGTGAGGGGAGCGGGGGGAGGTCAAAGTGCGGCCCACACACTTGCATACTAAAAAGGCCCCACCTAGAGTACCTAGCATAATATATTGCGTGGGTAGGGGCAAGTTTTCAATGGGGGGAGGATGACATGTGAGATTGGGCTTTGTGAAGAATGATCAAAGATTGAGCTGGTGATCGGTGGTTATGGCTATGGTGGTCAGCATAGAAGAAGAATACGCATAATCCTCTAGAATTATTCTCTAGGATGATTAGGATGGCCAAACCTGTTTCAATTCTCATTGGACATTCTAGAAGGCAAAGCCTGTCCTTGTATTGATGATGCATGGTGTACACAGGGTGTCATCATATCTTCCATCGTTGCATCTCCATGAGACGACTGATGGCTCTTTGAAAAGCAAAGTACTCTTCCTGCCCTGTGAACAGAGGGCTTTTATCCTATAGGGTATGGTACACGTGTAATAAGTGAGTAGGAGAGGTGGCGAAAAAGGGGGA